TTAATGCAACATATATATGTTTTACAGCATATTCTTTCCATTTTACTTTTTTCCCCATTCATTCATTGTGGTGCCTTTTCCTCCCTCCCCATGCCTCCACCCAAGTTTGTTTTTCTCTTTGAAGGAAAAAAAAAATCTTTCCCCAAACCCCAAGTCCACAGTCCACTTTCCTGTGCATTTCTTTTTCTGTAATCTTGTCATGAAAATAATACCTAATCTTATATTCCTTTTAAACAGTTCTCTCCCTCATCATAAAGTGGGATTGACATTGGGGTTGGGAGGAACCTAAGAAAAGAGGGGATAAATGGCAAAAATTTGCATTTGCATTTTTAGACCTTGAATTATATGCACTCTCCATTTGGGTCGTGTCTAGTCATACATGGTTATTTAAAGAATTCTTTATTTTCCTATTTAAAGGTAAAATGCAAAATTTAATTTCTCAGTTATACAAGCCACATTTTAAGTTCACAACAGATAGCTATTTAAACAGTACAGATTTATAGAACTTCTCCATCATTTTAGAAAGTTCTGCTCGATAATAATGTGCTTGACAGTATGCTTCTTGTTGGGAAGAACAGAAAAGAATAATGTATAGTTTGTACCTTTGAGGTGCTGTTTGTGGTGGAGAAGATGAATGAAAATTAAAACCCATCTAGCAGAATAAAATACTGGCCCAACTTTCAGCCAACCAATAAATATGAATAGCAACACCAGTCAAAGACTACACTACCTAGGACAGCTAACCATTAGGATCAGAAGGCAGCATTTGTCCAAGAATAAAGCTCAGAAGACAAGAAAGGATAGGAAGGAAGGATGAACAGAAATGGTAAATGTAGGAAGAAAGTTGGGAAAGTGGTTCTGTTTTGAAAATTGCAGTTAGTGTTATTGGATGAAAATGTGTACAAATTGCTGAAAACCAGTTTTTTCTGTGAATCTTTACCCAAATCACAACAAAAGTAAATAAAATTATGAGATAGTCTTCATGAACCACAGCCTTATATAACTTGAAACCAAGAGAACTATTTGGCAGTTGGCTACCCCTACTGATCATTCCAGTCAGGGACACAATAGGTGGATACTGTTAGAATGAGAGGAAAACATGGCACAGAATTCAAATTATTAAAAAACCCAGACCTTCTTGGGCACTTTGAGACTTGAGGGATCTCCATGACTGTCATTCTGAGCTACTCTTTAAACCTTGAATGAAAACGATGCCACAAGATCATCATTTAGCTAACTGACAGAATGATGCATAAAATAGAAGATATCACATATGAATACTGTGCATCTGTAAAAAATCGTCTGTGCAAGGCCAAGTGGTCAGCATTTACTCTTAAACGAAGATGAGAAGGCAAAGGGGCAGGGAAATAAATGACTGGAAATGGAACAGCCAGAATGGAAATAATGAGAAATTATAACTATATAACCAATGTCATAGAACAAATTGCATAGAAATTGTTAAATAGGAACCTTATTTGCTATGTAAACTTTGTTTTTTATTACTTTAATTGTTTTTTTTTATTTAATATTTTTTATTGGGAGAAACATATTGGGGGTACAAGGAGGTGAAGGTTGGGGGCAGAAGGGTGAGGATGGGACAGGATGCAGTTGCAGAGCTGCACAGTTTGGTCGGTGGGGGGAGCAGGTGAAGGAAATGATGAGGGTCCAGTGGGGACCAGATGTTACAGAGGAATGACAAGCATTTTCCAATAGTAATTAAACCAACTGTCTTATTGATTTGGGAATTGGATGCCGACTCTCTGGCTTCTTCATGCTGAACAGGGGCGTAGATGTAAAGGGGGGAAGGGAGGATGCTTTATCACCTTACTGGTGGTCTTGGGTTACAGCTGCTTGCCTTCTTGCTCTGTTAGAAGATATTTTCCTGTCATTTGCTCCCCTCTGGACTGCAAAGTGTTTTCCCAGGTGGGTCCAGTGGGGATGGCTGGTTGAACCCAGAGGCTACATCCTCCTTTGCTTCCTTAGCTGTCAGTTGTATTTCCTTTTTGTCACTGGCACTGGGTTCAGGGTCAATTATGGAGTAAAACTCAGAGTTAAGGTTACCTATAGGAAAGGGAGCAAACCTAGAGAGAACAAACTTGTGAGTTACAAATAGAAGGGCTTTGAGGGTGTTGCTTTCAGGTTTACGGGGGGGGGGGGGGGCAGAAGGTGGCCTAGGTAACATTCTCTGGATACCCTAGGCATTCTTTTTTTTTCTTTTCTTTTCTTCTCCTTTCCCCACCCAGGGGTCAGATGGCACAATCTGGGGACTGAGGAGCTCACCCTGAGGGCTGTGATGGCTCGCCCCGAGCTGGGGGCCAAGCGCAGCCCGCCCCGAGCTGGGGGCCAAGCGCAGCCCGCCCCGGACAGAGGGTCGCGATGGCTTGCCCCGGACAGGGGGCCGAGGGCAGCCCGCCCCGGGCAGAGGGCCGCGACGGCTCGCCCTGGGCAGCTATGTAAACTTTTAATGAAAATATAATATAGTATTATTTTTTTAAATAGAATGATGACAGGATGCAATACTCTGGAAACCCAAAAGAGTGATTAACTGTATGATAAGAGGTAGCATTTCATAGTGAATGTGCTATTTCAGTTGAAGTTCTACAAATGAACAGGGAAGAGCATAGAGTAAGTTCGTTCTGTGTCCATTATGTACCTGCATGTCTTAGAAAACTTGGCTAAAACATGCAGTTTTATTCTGTGGTGGTATTTCTATACCACATTTCTCTGGATAATGTAGCTGATTTGGCAGAATTGTTTTTTGGTTTTCTCCTGGACTGAGAGAGACCTGGAGAATGACTTGACAATCTTATTTGAAATCAAAGTTAAAAGTAGTACACAAAACAAAAACCACCAGACCCACTACTGTCAAGACAGTTCTGATGGTCACCCTCCACTGGATTTTTGAGGATATGAATCTTTGCTAGCGGAGCCTACCCATCTACTGTGGAGCAGCTGGAAGATTCGAACTTCCTGCCTTTTGGATAGCAACCTGACATGTAGAAGACTCCAGCACCAGCACTCCTTAACGATGTAAAGCTAAAGGAAAAAGATGTTTGAACAAAGAAAGCACAACAAACTTTTTGTGTTTATTGTGTTTTAAGCCTTGAACTATGTGCTGAGGTGAAAATATAAGTAAGATATTTTAATGTAAAAGACTCATAATCTAGTGGGAAAGGTATATGATTCAATAAAGTGTGATGTTAGATTCAAGTGTATAAAACAGAGTTGTAGTTCAAATGGAAAGTGATCTTGGGTGGCCGTGGTGTACCATTGAGTCAGAACCAACCAATATCTGACACTCGAGCAGGTTTTCAGAAGCCTTTAACTGCATGAGAGGAGATTACCCATCTTTCTCCTGCAGAGCAGCTGGTGGATTTGAACTGCGTACATTTGTGTTGTCAGCACAATCCCTTAACACTCAGCCATCAGAGCTCCCTAATCTAGGTTAATGCCCTTAAATATTTTTTTTAAATTTTTTATT